AAAATTTGGATTTCTCTATAAGATTCAGCTTTACTTATTCTATTATAAAATACTTAAATATATTTAATTAACAAGATTCTATTAGCTTATATATCATATCTTTATTTTATATAGTATTTTGATAGTCAGATTTACATGTGGTATTATGAGTCACATATGCATTTCTATATTATATAATTATACTGTCATACTATTCTAATATTGAAAAATGATATATCTTAATTTCAGAAATATATCTCAAGTATTGCTTATATTATTTCTATTTAAAGTCTTATCATCCATATAGAATTTGCCGTCATTGAGTGGTGGCCGTCGTTGAGTGGTAGATTACGTTAATCTAGCCAGCCAGGGGATCACGTGACTCACAGGCTCGTCCCAACATGCCGTCTAGCGCATCGATTCGACTGCTGGTAGAGTCCGGCATAAGATCGAATAAAATCTATCACAGCTGAAGGCCCGTCGGGGCGGGATGTCTGTAACGTCTTCTTGCCTGGAGGAGAAGACATATCATGCTAACGGGTATGTTGTTGGAGCTAGCAATCGTGTGGTGGTTACGACCATGACAATTTGTTTTCGTAAGGTATTCAACTGACAATTTGAACAGGGAGCCCTGCAGGCTGCCGCAGATGTTCTCGCCACGCTTCCAGCGAAGAACAGGCTATCTTTCCTTGCATCTTGCCAGGAGCTCAAGTCCCTTTTCGTTGCGATGTACAGAGCATCCACCAACGCCTACGCATAGAGATATTTGGCAAGCACCTTCCACCTGAAGAGCTGTCGATCTCGCGATCCGAGGTGTTGGTTCCCCCGTTTCTCCTAGCAACCATCTAGAGTCGATTTAGCATCGCCCCTCGCCGGATCACTCTGTGGAAGCATTGAAGCAGATGGATTCCGGCCGATTGCCACGGACGGAAGTCGGACACCTTGAGACTATGGCTTATCGGAGCTCACCATTATTGACGGTTATCTATTCCTCGTTAACGAACCACAACTTAAGTCGTCTTCCAATACTTGAGATCGCAGTTTCCGATGGACTCGAAGACTTCGCCAGGAAGTGCACGGGTACGGATGGTCCCATTCTATCCCCACGGCTTAGCTGAAAAGGGCGTGGTGCTACTCTCGCCGGAGTTGGAACATCAAGACTCGCCCAAGGAGAGCGTTTATAAGTTCGAAGCGGTCGCGTACAGTGCTGCAATGCCTGACATTGACGAGACTTCAGCGCAACTCGACGGTAATGAGGCCGAAGACGGGGATTTCTAAAGACTTCTCAGTTATCTGTTGAAGCAGCTGTTCTTGTCACACTTGAATATTGATAATATTGTTCAACTGCTGTTGTCATATCTGCTGTTCAGGACCAGGTTAGAGTGGTGCTCGGGACCGGGACGGGATCCCAAATCCCATGTGTGTTGGTCCCGGTCCCAAATTCGGCTTGGAGTTTGATCCCGGCGGCAGCCATATTGATCCCATATCCCATCCCGGCGGGATAATGGAACCGGGATCCCATACTAATTTGATAGTAATCCCGGCCGGAGCTGTCCCACCATAAGAATTGCATACCAAATCCCAGGCGGACGGGACCGGGTTGGAACTGGGATCCCAGCAATATTATATAAGATGGGTGATGTGGGTATAACAGTGTTTAAAATGGCTGAAATATGCTAAGACCATTACCAAAATTTGTTACTTTTTTAAATAGAACATGGGATGGGCAACACTGACATGATATAACATGGGTGACATGGGTATCCCCTCACCTGTACACCAGTGCCTTTTAGTGTATTTTATTCGTACACTAATGTAATGTAATCTACCATTCAATGACGGCCACCCCTCAATGATGGCTGAATTCAAATTCAACCTTCCAACTTCAACTATGCAACCATGGTCAACAAAATCACTATAGAGCTTGCAATTAAGGATTTGAGATCTCAAACTAAGTCAAATTTCAGGGCTACTGCTTTTAAATATAATTTGAGCAAATGTACACTTGCACAGTGATTCAAAGACAAACAAGTCTCAAGAACTGAAGAAGTCTTCAAGCACTGCAAAAGATTGACAAATTCACAAGAAAGATTTCTTCTTGAGTATATAAATGAGCTTATGCATAAAGGCTTTCCTCCTATGCCTCAAATACTACAAAATCTCATTAAAGAAATTCTCAAAAAGGCAGTTGGAGAGAACTGGGTTCTTTGCTTCATTAAATATTATAAAAATAAGATTGATAGCTTATATTTACAGACAATTGATCAGTAAAGAAAGAATGCAGACAATACTAAGTTCTTTACTCACTTCTTCAAGCTAGTAAATTCCCACTTTCCAGCTTGTTGGGGCTCAGTTTTGCTAATAATCTTATAGCTTAGAGAAAAGATTGAATACTATCAGATTTTGCTGGGAAACATATACAATTTTGATGAGAAAGAATTTATAATAGACTTCTTGAAGATGGTCAAACAAATAGTCACCAAGGAATATTTGAAAACTGATCAAATTCTTGAAATAACACAGGATGGATCTTGAGAGTTCATTTCTCTACTGACTTGCATTTATGCTGACAGATCAGCACTTTCACCATTTCTTATCCTCAAGAGAGATACTGGAGATCTTCAAGATAACTGACTTACTGATTTTAAATTTAAAAAGCATCAGATCTTCTTTGCTGCTTCTGAAAACAGCTGAAGTAGTGATGAATTAAAACTTGTCTTTCTCAAAAGATTTAATGTTCTCACAAAGAAAAAAGCTGAATCTCAAGAACTTAAGTGTGACAAACATCTGCTTATACTAGATAATCATTCATCTCATATCAACATGAAATTTATCAATTACACTAATCAGAATAACATTCTACTTGCAGTCTTCCCACCTCATTCTACACACCATCTACAACTGCTAGATATCAGAATATTCAGATCTTTGTCTCATGCTTATTCTCACCATCTTGATTCCTTCTTTTGTGAAGAATTTGACTTCAATCAGATCAATAAATTAACTTTTTGGCAAATCTTCTATAAGACTTGAAAGAACACTCTGACCCCAGAAAATATTTTTTCCAGCTTTGCTGCTGCTGAAATCCATCCTCTAAAGCTTCAAAAAGTGCTCAAAAGTTTAGAGCAGCAGTTTAAGACCCCCTCTACTACTCTACAGTCTAAGACTCCTACTAGTGCTGGGGGAATTCAATCAATCACTTAAGAGATTATACAGCTTCTGGAGCTTGACTCTATAATCAAGCTGCTAGTACAAGCTACTAAGAGACTAGTGCTCCATAGAGAGGTTCTCACCATTGAAAATCAGAGTCTATCTCAGGCTTTACACATTGAACACAAGCAGTGCCAGCAGGAAAGAACTATGAGTCTTTTAGATTCCAGTATGCCTGACCAGACTCAGTTCTTTTCTCTCAGAAAGATAGTCAATATTAGAGAGCAAATGGAGGACTTAGAGAACTAAAAAGAAGCTGAGACAGCTTGCAAAGAAGAGAAGAAGCTTCAGAAAGCTATTGCTAGAGAGAAGAGAGCAGCTGAAGCTGCTGAACAACACTGAATTCATAAAGAAGTCTGTATAGAAAAGAAGAGGCTTAAAGAAGCTGATAAAGCAGCTAAACAGACCAAACAAACTGCTGAGAAGGTTGAACAGGAAGCTAGAAAGGTATTGAAACAAGCTGAAAAGCTGGAACAAGCTAGTAGATGTGAGAAGCTTCAGCAGCAGAAGACTGCTGAGCAGATCTGTCTAATTAGAAAGATTTCAAGATCCCAGACTCTTTGTACAGACATGAGATTCTCAGTAAAGAGATCTCAATTCACTAAGAAGACTCCCAAGAACCCTCTTAAAGCAAAATCAACTTCTAAAGCTCTTGATCCAGCCAATGTGACTGTGGTCAATTCAAATGAGTTCTTACCAGCAACAACCCACTCCAGGCACCATATTAAGTCAACACAAAGAGTTTTGGATAATCTATAGAACTTTCTATATAGTATTCCATCTCATTTACTAGTAGCTAATATTTAATTTGAATATCTTCTTGCATTGTTGAGAAATTGTGAATTTGATGGGTGGGGGTGGATTCCAAATTCACCATCATTGAGGGGTGGCTGTTGTTGAATGGTAGATTACATTAATCTACCATTCAATGATGGCCACCCCTCAACAACAGCTGAATTCAAATTCAATCTGCCAACTTCAACTACACAATCATGATCAACAAAATTGCTATAGAGCTTGCAATTAAGAATTTGAGATCTCAAATCAAGCCAAATTTCAGAGCTACTGCTTTTAAATATAATTTGAGCAAATGTACACTTGTACAGTGATTTAAAGACAAACAAATCTCAAGAACTGAAGAAGTCTTTAAGTATTACAATTAAAGGGAGGCGAAATTCACAAGAAAGATTTCTTCTTAAATATATAAATGAACTTATACATAAAGACTTTTCTTCTACATCTTAAATACTATATAATCTCATTGAAGAAATTCTCAAAAAGACAGTTAGAGAGAACTGAATTTCTTACTTTATTAAATATTATAAAGATAAGATCAATAGCTTATATTTACAAATAATTAATTAGTAAAAAAAATGCAGATAATATTAAATTCTTTACTCACTTCTTTAAGCTAGTAAATTATCACTTTTCAGCTTGTTGAGACTTAGTTTTACTAATAATTCTATAGCTTAGAATAGACTGTGAACAAGTAAGAGTAGTACTCAGATTTGACTCAGACTTGACTCAACTGAGTCTGATTCAAGCACCTTCATTCTATAACTTGGGCTTGACTCAGATTTACTCAGTTGAAATCTGTTCAGAATGTGTTATAAATCTTGCAGCACAGTACAGAATCACTGCACATCATTAAAAGAGTGTATGAAGAATATGACTGAGAAGTGGAGCATGATGAGACTATGAGAGTTATGAACTGGAAGAATTAGAATCTGAGAAGATGAAAGTCATGTGACTGAACAGTCAAGATAGTAGTGATGTTTGTAAGTGGTAGATGTCAGGGTTTGTTTCACTAACTAATCTATGCTCTATTAACAAGAAGAATTGCTTAAGAAAAGAAAGAAAAGAAGAAAGAGAATGATGCCAAAGTGTGTGTGCTTTGATGAAAGCAAGAATAGACTAGTTGATCTTGATTGGGAATCTGATTGATTGAACACATCAGCTGTTAGTAAGCATGATTGAGAGCTGTTGAGTGCAATTGAAAGATTGCTAAGTTGTTGAATCTGATGATTCATTAAGAGTTCTCTATCAGACATCAGTCTGTCATATTACTCTCTTCTCAAGCCAATGCTTGAGTATTGTCTATAATGCTTTCTGATTGCTTTTGAGACTTCCATTGATTCAATGTGGTTATATCCTCTAATGCTCTAGCAGACTCTCATGTAGGTTGATTCCATTCAGTTCATTTCATCAAGTATCTTTATTGAGTGTCTGTTCTCTTTTCATCAACAATGTTCTCAACCTCTCATTTCTCATGTTCATCATCTTCATACTTGTTATTGACTAGTGTTGATGGTAGCTGGGGCTTGTGTACAATTTGTGAAGGAAAGAAGTTCTCAGATGCTGATTGGAGGAGCTGAATGTTAAACACATTATGAATTTCTGAAGAGATGTTAAAATGATAAACATGTAATCTGATAACTTTAATGACTGTGTATTTGACATTCTTTGTGTTGAGTTTCTTGCTTGATCTGTCTGTTCTTATATTTTAAAGATTCAGTCAGATCTTATCTTTTATCTTGTAGCTGTAGAATATCTTCTGCTTTTGATTTGCATACTGTTTCTGTAGTTTCTGAACTGTGATGATAGCAGCCTGTGCAGTTTCTCATGCATTTCAGAGTTTTCTGACTATTGCTTCTTCTTGTTGTGTTGAGCTTTAATGATCTTCTGTTGTCAAACTTGAGAGCTCCTCTGTCAGTTTCAATGATTTAATATTGTACTCATAGACAAGAAAGAAGAGTGTGAATTCAGTTGATTTTGCTTCTCAATTATTGATTGTCAGTTCTTCTATCAGAAGTCAATGTTTTCAGTCTGATTGCATGTGATTAATATACTTCTGTAGAAATGTCTCAAGAATCTGATTCATTCTCTCTGTTGATCTGTCTGTTTCTGTGAGGAGCTAGGTCTAATAGACATATAATCAGAACAGAAATGAGCTACTAGTGTAAAGAATATAGAAGAATATGTGGTGGGAGCAAGTATATAGTATATGCTATGAGTAGATAGAGCTCATTGCTGATCTGTGTAAGAAAGAGGGCAGCATTGAGAAATTATATACAAGCAAGATGTGTGCTATTAAGATTTAAAGAGTCTAGTATTAGAGTCTGACTGTAAGAACACCACCAGCAAGAAGCAGCTATCTAGCCACCACTCAGCAGTGAATATCTATAACAGCATTATGACAAGACATTGTCATCTCAAAGATATAAGCAGGGAGCTGTCTTGCCCACTTGAAAGAGAGCAAGCAATTTATTTACTATCTATTCACTATTAGAGTCTATCCTACAATCTATATATTCTTATATATGTTTTGATTATATGTTGATATTATTTAGTTCTATAGCAATAATCTCTATCTGACCTCTAGCTAGCTGCTAGTTACCAGTACTCTTGTAATTTCACTCTAATATCAAAAAGATGTCTAGTTTCTGGCCAAAGTTAAGCTAGTTGTTACAGTTTTGAATTACTTCTCTTAAAAAACTGAAGAAAGTATGTCATCTGAACATCTTCTTCACAAGATCTTGGTGAGTTTGCCACAAACTTTTGAATCTGCTATGGAAGAGAATGAACAGAATACTTCTCAGAACTGATGAGAATCTGTAGTTGAACTCTCAGAGTTCTCTCTGACTATCTCACAACCAAGTTGTGAAGACATAGAAGATAGGAATTCTCCTGCAACAGAAATCATGTATATGATGATCTTGAATCAGTTTAATGCTCTTCTTCAACAAATGTCAACACAGTGGGAACAGGCAGTGGCTATCTCACCACAAGTTGTCTATAAACAAGAAGGTAAATGGTTCCCAGAGTCAGACTTATATAAGAGATGGAATTGAAAGAAATATTGGGAATTTATTTGAGCTTGTGAGAATTATCTTGAGGTGAAGAGTGGAATCTATGCTACTGAGAAGAAAAAGATCAAATATGTAGCAGTTAGATTGTGGGATAATTCTCAAGCTTTGTGGGATTTAAAAAGAAAACATATTGATTGGAACATGTTCACCTTCAATAATCTTAAAATGAAATTATTGAACTGACTTGAAGCTCTGAAGAATTGTGGGTGTACAGCAGCAAGAAGAATGACAGCTCTATACTTTTAAGCAGGACAATCCATTTCTGATTTTGAATGGAAATTTATGAAATGTTAGCATGATTTTGAGATGACTCTTATGAAATGTCAACATCAGCAATTGTGGGTCTATCAAGCTTTAGTTAAATTACCTACTCAAATTCAATATAAGATCCAAGAGCAAGGAGTTCCAGATACTCTTTGAAAATTGTTTTTAATGGCTGCCCACTATGAGAAAGCTGCTGAATATTGGAAGACTAGCTGTGACAACTCTCAAAACTCTCATGGTGTGGGAAGATGAGAGTATTGTGACAAAAATAAGAAAAGAAAGTTGACAGATGAACATTTCTGTAAACAATTAACTAAGAAGCAGCAATCTACTCACTTCTATACTTATCTCAAGTAAAAAGAACAACAAAAACAAAAAAAATGATGCTTCAATTGTAATCAGCAAGATTATATGACAAATGCCTGTCCAAAATAAAAGACCAGCAATCAAATGATTAAGAAGCAGCAACCTTTTCATGAAAAGATCAATCCTCCACCTAGTGTCAACTATGTTCCATAAGAAGTTCAAGAAATGGAAGAATCACAAGAAGAATTCATAGAATCAGAGACTGAGTCTATATCAGTAGAGAGCTCACAGAAATATAGTAGTGAATGACTAGCTGAACACTGTTCAGAATGTAAACTGATTGTTGCTACTATAAAATCAGAAAAATATTCCATATTGAACTGTATTCTTATTGACTCAGAAGATTTTGTTGAGTGTGTCACATATAGAAAGCTGCTACAAAGCAGCTGGGAACCACTCAATTTGCTGCAAAAATTGAAATTAGCTGATGAGTCAAATACTGTCTGTTATGGAGAGATTGCTCTTACCTGCAAGCTCAAGAATTCAGAAGAAATGGAAAAAATAATCAATTGAACATTTAAAGTTATGAATCTTTTAACATATGATATGTTACTAGATCTATCTTGATTTGCAGAGATAAACTCCATTATTGATTGATCTGCTGAATTCTGGTGATATCACAGTGAGAAACTGATCAAACTCTGAATTGAAAACCCACACTGTTTTTTGAAGACTTCTTGACATGAAGTTGTTTACATGCTTTTGGCTGAGCAGAAATCTGAAAACACCATGCTTGATCTTTTTAAACATTATCAACAATATGTGGAAGTCTTCTCAATAAAAGCAGTCAGTAAGCTGTCAGATAGCTGTGTGGAACATTTGATTGATCTACAACAAGATCAAATGCTGTCTTGAAAAAAGATTTATGTTATATCAATAAAAGAATTGAACATCTTATGAAAATATATTGAAGATAAACAATAATAAGAATAGATTTGACCTTTTACTAGTTCTGTGAGAGCATCTATACTCTTTGTCAAGAAAGCTGATGGGTTGCTGCAACTTTATGTTGATTACAGAGAATTAAATGCAGTAACTATTAAAAATTGCTATCTTCTACTCTGAATTGATGAATTACTTGATAGACTGAGTGGCATGCAATGATTAATGAAGCTGGATCTCCACAATGCATATCAACATATATGAATACATTGTGGTGATGAATGAAAGACAGCTTTTTGTACTCAATATAATTATTTCAAATATACAGTCTTGTCATTTGATCTCTGCAATGCACCAGCAATCTTTCAGGCATATATTAATAATGTTATGGATAATCTCTTAGACAATCATGTTATCATATATATCAACAACATACTTATTTTCTCTCAAACTAAATAAGAACATATTCAACACATTACTAAAGTTCTACAGTGGCTACATAGCCACAAACTATATGCTAAGTTATTGAAATGCAAATTCCATAAGAAACAGATGAAATTTCTCAATTATATTATTGAACATGATGGAATTTGTCTGGATGAAAGCTGCTTGAAAATGGTGTTTAACTGGTCAGAACTGAAATCTATACATGATATTTAAATATTTTTGGGATTTACTGGCTTCTTTAGGTGTTTCATATTTAACTATGCTGGTATTACTGCTCCATTAACTGAATTATTGAAGAAACAAGATAAACTCTTTGAGTTAACAGCAAGAGTGCAGCAAGCTTTCAGAGATCTTAAAGATGCTTTTGGTGCTTCTTTATTGTTAACTCATTTTGATAAAGACAAAGATATCTTGATGATTACTGACATCTTAAATTATACAATCACAGCAATATTACTTCAATCTAGCAGCAAACAAGAACAGAGACAACAACACAATTGACATTCTGTGATCTTTTATTTCTGCACAATGAATGAGATTGAGCAATGATATGAAGTTCATGATCAAGAGCTTTTAGCAATTATGAAAAGCTTTAAGCATTGGCACCACTATCTAAAAGATAGTAGACAGTCATTCTGCATTCAAACTGATCATAACAACCTTTGATACTTCTTTCAGACCAAAATGCTGAATAACAGACAAGCTAGATGGGCAGAGACTCTTGCAGCATATGATTTTACATTGAAACATAGACTGGGAGCTTGCAATCCAGCAGATGCTTCATCATGATGATCTGATTATAAGCTGACAAACATGCAAGAACATCAGATGGACATGTTATCTATCTTACAGAGAAAACTGACACTAGAAATCATTAAGTCAGAGAATTTCTACAAGAAATCTGCTGGTTCACAGCAACAGGCTGGGCCAGGGGCAGGAACAAGCTGTCCAGAAAGCTTGATTTCTAGAATCATGATTGTTGAGGCACAAGAGAATGAGAATGTTTATGACCCAGTCTTAGAAAGCATGAGTAGTCTGCTCTGTAAGCTTCAGAACAGGAATGTCTGATCTGTTAAGCTGCATGTGATTTTGAATTCTTCTACTGAGTCAGTATTCTATTGACAAGCAGACTGGCATCTTTTGAAGAATGATCAGCTGCTTATGCATGATTTGAGAATATATGTGTCTTGAGACTCAGTAGTTAGGCAAGAACTGCTGAGAAGTCATCATAATAACATATGAGTTGATCATAATGACATCCAAAAGATGTTGGAGCTTCTACAACACAAATATTATTGAGATTAAATGACAAAAAATATGAAGAAGTATGTCAGCTCCTGCTATGCATGCAACTTGATAAAATCTTGCTGCTATAAATCTTATGAGAAGCTAGCAAGCTTGCTCATAGTGACAAGTTCTTGAAAACATATAGTCATGAATTTTGTTGTGGAACTTTCACTCTCACTGCTGAGTGGCAGGATGTTTGATGCTATCTTGACAATAGTGAATAGATTTTTGAAGATGGTTAAGTACATTTCTGTTACTGAAAACATTAAGACATCTGAACTAGTCAATCTTTTTATTAGACATGTTGTGAGTCAATACAGATGCCTGGAATCTATTCTATTCAATCACAGATTACTGTTTACTAGCTGCTATTGAACAGAGATGTGTCATCATCTCTTCATCAAACAAAATCTCAGCACCATTTATCATCCACAAATCAACAGTCAAACTGAATGGCTAAACCAAATTCTCAAACAATATATTCACTTATATGTTAATTATCAGCAGGATGATTGGATCCAGCTGCTATCTATGATTAAGTTTGCATATAACAATAGTTAGAACATGTCAACAGATAAAACCTTATTTGAACTTGTTCTAATCTTTGAACTCCAGTTACTCATCAGTTTGCAGACTGATTCATCTTTCAGTCTGTCAGAAGTCATTAAAGAAATTAAATAAATTTAACAAATCTGTAAGCAAGTCATTCAATCACTGCAAACTGCTGTCAATACACAAGCTAAATATTACAACCAGCATCATAAACCAATGCAATATCAAGTAGAAGATCATGTTCTACTTAACTGAAAAAATATAATGACTCTAAGACCTTCTACCAAGCTTGATAATCAATTTGTAGGGCCTTTTGAAATTATAGTCATACAAGAAAAGCAAGCTTATACATTAAGACTCTCAAAATTATATGAATGACTCAATCCAACTTTTCATGTTTCACTACTGGAGTTCTATCAGGAATGTATTGGTGACTGATCAGTGACTCCACAGCCAATATTAATTGATGATGAAGAAGAATGGGAAGTGGAGACCATTCTCAATAAACACATTCACTGCTCAAAAATTGAATATCTGGTCAAATGAAAAGACTTTTCTTTCTACAAAAATCAATGATTAAAAGCAGAAGATCTTTCAAACTGCAACAAATTTATCACAGAATTCAAACAGCTATCCAAAGCTCTGATTAAAAGGCATTGCCACAAGTTTGCTACACAATAACCACTCCATAGCTGCTAGCAGCTAATAAAGAGAGAGAAGAAATATGATCTATAAAAAAATTTACAATAGAAAGAGCAGAAGAAAACATTTTCATTCAAGATCTGAAGACTGACAAAAAAATGATAAAAGATTTAAGGTCTGAAGACTGAACAAACTGAAAATGTGACAAACTGATGAGAGATCAGCAATCTAATAATGATTAATTGTTGCTTTTAATGAGTCTTGCTGGCTTCTTCTCTTCCTTCAGAAATTTGGTCTTGATTCCAGATGATTTAAGAAACTGAATGATGTTGTTAGACATTATCTGTAGTATTCTCTTCAGTTGTGAGAGAAAGATGAGAATGGTGTGAGATTCTGACTTGGGAGTGGTGACAGCAGAGACAGAAGCAATGGAGACAGCAGTGAGAGTGTGATGTGAGATAGTCTGAAAGACACTCATCTCACAAAAAAAGACATTAATTGCTGAGACTCTTCTCTGCAGGTGAGAAAGAATCTCTGAAGTTGAATAATTGCCAGTAGCTAGCTGATGTATTGCTGTAATCTTGTTGTGAAGAGTGAAGAAAATCACCACACATGCTTTTCTGTGTGCATGATACTGAGAGCATTTGTCAAATACAGCAGAGAATGAACAGACTGTAGTGCAATCTTGCACTAGATATTTGACACATCACACATATATGATGATCTGATTGCTGATCTGCTGCAAGCTATCAGCAAGATTTAGGAAAGAGAAACTTGAGATGTTTTTCTGAAATTCTTAGAAAACACTTATGAAGACAGCAGAAACAGTCAAACTGATTACATTCACAGTCATTTCATCTCTCAAATTCTATTCTTTTATTAATTGTCACTATTCATCTGCTAGATATTGATTACTTACAGAAGACACATTGCAATCAAGCTCTTCAGAGCTTGTAGCTGCAACAGAAGAGTTCTGTGGGTGAGAATTAAAAGATGGAACAGAGAGCTGATTAAAGAATTTATTAGCTTGCTGCTAACTAGCTTTCTCCACACATATAAGAGCTTATGAGAAATGGAGAATGGTCTGGGGCAGAGATAACTGAGCACTCTGAGGCAGCTGAAGTGGTGGTCACAGCTAAAGCCACAACACAAGCACACTTCTTCACTGCTGAAGCAGTCACAGTATCACAAAGTCATTTGGCAGCCATCTAGCAGCAACATCAACACATTAGTCAGGTGAGAATCATATAAAAATACTCTCAACTGTGAAATACTTACAGTGAAAGAACAGAGACACAAAATTTAAATTAAAGAAAAATTCTGAATTATTTCTGTTAATTAAATTCATCTTCTCAAATCTTCAATTCACTTACAAACAGGAGGGAAGCTGGTGGTTTACAGGAATTCTACCACTATCTATCAGCAATCTGTCTAACAATCAACAGAGATCTCCAGCATCTACCACTTCTAGAATTTGAATGCTATAAGAAAGTAAAAGAAAAGAGGAAGAGAATGAACTCACCTCTATCAATCTCTATAATTATTATACAACACAAATCCAGAAGCTTCTGATTGGTTAATGCTCTAGCTTACAAAACAAAATGTTCCTGACTCACATGATCTGCTGCAGAAACAACTGTTGGAACAGAGGCTTTCAAATCTCACATGAGCTCTTCAGAAACCTGAGGATGTGTTCCTCTAGAAAGAGAATAATTGTAAGAACACCACCAGCAAGAAGCAGCTATCTAGCCACCACTCAGCAGCAAATATTTATGACAGCATTGTGGCAAGACATTGCCATCTCAAAAATATAAGCAGGAGGCTGTCTTGCTCACTTGAAAGAAGACAAGTGATTTGTTTACTATCTATTTACTACTAGAGTCTATTCTACAATCTATATATTCTTATATATGTTTTGATTATATGTTGGTATTACTTAGTTCTATAGCAATAATCTCTACCTGATCTCTAGCTAGCTGCTAGTTACCAGTACTCTTGTAGTTCCACACTAATATTGAAGAGGCATCTAGTCCCTGGCTGAAGCCAAGCTAGTTGTTACACTGGCATGACAATTGCTCCTCCATTTGTTGGGAGCTGTCCCTGACAACCATTGTAGTTTATAGATGTTGCTATCAGTGTAGCATTAGGTGTTGGTACTTAATTGTTTGGCTGCTTGCAGCATTATTGGGTGGTGGGTAGCTTGGGTGGTGTTGTGCAGTTGTGGTGTGGGTGTGGGTGTGGATGTGGTGCAGTGGTGCTGGTGTGGTGAGATAAGCAGGATGGTGAGATAAGCAGTGGTGATGTAAGTGAAATGCTGATGTAAATTGGGTGGGTCACATGTGGTGTGTTAGAATAGATACTTCTGTTGAGCCAAAAGTGTCTTTTTTCAATTGAGATTAGTGCTATATCAGAGTAAATAATAAAGAACATTTGTAATCTGCTGCACTTCTTTCTTTTCTCTTTTTCTCTTCACAACACTATTACTTTAAAGAAATGTTTTTACCTGCATCTGTCTGTCTGCTGTTGCTTGTCTGCCTCTCTGTCATCATGACTGAATCTTCTCTTTTGTGAGTTTTATCAATGTGTTGAATGTAGAATGATGGACATTCTATGTTGTAAGTGAGTTGTTTTGTTGATTTTGCTGCTTGTTGTGTGCAAATTACTGCTCTGATGCAGTAGTTGACTTTGTTATGATATCTGATTTTTATGACTATTTCTGTTGTTGCTTTCAGCATTGTATTCTTGCTGGTGCAGTGTTAATGCTGTTTGTGGTGTTTCATGAACTTTTTGTTGTTGTGAATGCTTTTATTTTATTATTTTGTTGCTGTCTTTGTGTTTTTCAACAAGAACTTGTCATTATTTGTGCAAATTTTTCACTTACAATGTCATTGCTGGCATGTTTGTTTGGTGTGGGTATTGACTGTTTGCTAACATACTGTTTGTTGATAGATGTGTTCTGTGCATCTGCTGTCTCTTTTACTATGAGAATTCTGATTTTTTCTGTGCTGTTCTTTCAGAAAGAAAGAAGTGTGAAGAATGCTGCAAGACACATTGTCTCTGTGTTTCTGTATGTGCTGCTAGCAAGTTTTATTGATAAATATAATGCTGACAGGTGTATGTTGATAGACAGAGAACAGTGAGATTCTTCAGTGAATTATCAATCTCTGTGATCTGATCTTCTTCAACAGAAGATTGAGTCACATTGCTCAGTCTGACTACAACAAGCTCCAACAGCTTGTTGCTGAACTTAATTGATCTGCAGTTCTGATGCAAACTCAGAGAGCTTGAGTAGCTGCTCTCACTGATATTACTAGATGCTGTGTGCTGCAGATTACTCAATCTGATGAGACTGTTGATGATTCTGACAATGATTACTCTCTGTCTGTTGTCTCCACCTCCACCTTCTCCATCATCTGGAATGCTGATAGTGATGATAATAATGATGATGATGATGATAAAAGTGCCATCAATGAGAATGGTGTTGACTCTTCTCATGAGAGAAGTTGTGCTGTATCAGAGAGCTCTGATGGTGGAGCTGTCATCTCTGATGATGTATAACTTCAAGCAGTGGCTGCAGTTGCAGTGATTGGTTCAGTCTGACATGAAACTTGTGGTTTTGCCTCTGAACAGCATAGACTGTGTGAATTTTTGTCTGATATTGAGGGCATTTTGAAGAACTTCATAAAGTAATGAGGCTCTGTTTGAAGATGAGAAATGTTTTTTACATGACATAATGCCCACTCTTAGATTGTGGTCTTTGGGCAATTTTTCTTTTTATTTTTTATGCTCTTCAGAGTTTTAAGTCTGCTGTAGGCAGTGGTCTTCAGATCTGAATAAAAAATATTTGCATCTCTCTTTTTCATTTCCAGTGCTTTATTAAATTGTGTGAGATGCCTGTTGGTGTTTAGTTCATTATGAAGATAGAGCATCTTATGTTTTTGAAGATAGATATTTAGTGTTTGCTGTGCTTTAAGACTGATGATCTTGTTGCATTCTGTATTTTCTCTTTCTTAAGAAATATTTTTATTGTCTCTGTATCTGCAACATTTTCTTCAGATTCTCAAATGTCATCTTGTGGTCTTCATCCAAGCCATCAGACTAGATATTCAACTTTCTTTTATTGGATGCACTTGTCAAGTATTTTATCTACTATAAATTTGTCTTCTCTGTCCACCAGTTCTGACTCTGACAGTGGTGGCACTTCCTCATGTTTGGTGTAAGATTTCAAGAGAGAGATGTGAAAGACAGAGTGAATGCTGTGATAGATTGGGAATAGTTGAAGCTTATATAATTGCTTTCTTCAGACTGCAATAATTTTAAATGAATCAATAAAGTTATGGTTGAGTTTTCTTGCAGAGCAGATCATTTTGAGATTTTTGATGTTGAGCAGAATTAAGTCACTCATCTTATAACTTTGTGACAGATGCTTGACATTATAGTATGTCTTTTGTGAATCTTGTGTCTGTTGAAGTTTGTCACTCAACTCTCTATAAATGTCTATTAATGTTTCTGCACATTCTGTGATGTGTATGACTGAATGCTCTGATGCTTGACTGATATTGATAGAAAGATCTGATTGATATTTCATCAGAACTACTGCTGATACTTCATCTGTGAAGCTATGCTGAGATTGATTGTAGACATGTTGAGTTATGAGAAGTCATTGAATTCAGTCATCTTGATGAAAATTTATAAAACAGTGTAAGTATTGCTTCAGAGTTTGGTTTTGATGCTCAGTTTGTTCATTCATTTAAGAGTGAAAAGCAGTACTAAGCTTACATTTTGTACTGAAATAAAAGCATAGAATTGATCAGTATTTACTTGTGAACAGTGATTCTCAGTCAGAAATTATGTGTTGAGATATCTCATATATGATGAAAACACACTCATAGCACAATTCTGCAAGTTGCTCTGCAGTGATGTCTTTTCTGCATGATAGATAAATTATGAACTTGATGAGAATGTTAACTATAACTAAGATAGTATTATAGATTTGATCTTTTCATGAAGACAGAGATAGTCTCATGATGAGATTCATGATTAAGATCTCAAAAAGTTTTGTGGATAATGAAATGATGTTCAATTCACCATATTATTTGTGGTGTTGAGACTTAATGCATTGGCATGTGTTACAGTTTTGCACATATTCTGCAATATCTTGAGATAGTTCATACCAATAGTACTTTTTCTGAATAGTCTCAATAATTCTTTTGATTCTGAAGTGGCCATCTTGTGCATCATCATGATTAACACAAAGAATCTCAGCAATAAGTGCTTTTTGCTGTGGTACATAAGTGCAGCCATTCACACATAGAATTTTGTTCTCAGAAAAGATTCATGTTGATTCATTAGCTTTGAATGTATCTTTCTTCTTTATTTTGCACTTCCAGCATACAACAAATGTGTCAAGATCTTGAATTTGCTGAAGTAGTAATGTCAAGAATTCAGACATGTCAGAATAAGCTGTCTTGAATGTCATAATAGCATTTATCATTATCTATGGTACAAGAGTTCTAGAAGATCCTCTAACACTGTTGGTAGAATCAGATTGTGGTGAGTTACACAAGTTGATTGAGAGCTTTACACTGTTCACTGTGATGATTGATGTTGGAACTCTTTGTTTGCTGTTGTGCACTCATACACAGTTTGCAAGAAGCATGATTGCTTTGTTGAAATTCATATTTCAGTCTTGATTAACTTCATGTTTAAGTTTTTGTTGCAGTGTGGGCAACAGTATCTCATCATAATAGAAGTCTGCATAGTCTGTGTGGTGACTGAATGTGTCTGCAGAATTTGTTTTCTCTGAACAGTGCTGCAATATGAAGTTATATGTGCTGAGCACTTCTGCTCATCTTGTCTGATGTTGATTCAATGTCTTAATTGTCATAAAGTATTAAAGATTAACATGATCTGACAAAATAATTACTGATTTCTGACTCTTCTCCAGATAATGTCTCCAGTGCTTGAAGACAGCAACTATTGCTAGAAGCTCTTTATCATGAGTGTCATAATGAGTTTTAGTGTCTATAAGCTTTCAGAATCAGAAGATGACAGAGTATCAGAAATTGTTCTTCTGAAGTTGTGACAAGATGACTGCAATAGTGTGAGTTGAGACATTGAGTTTGAGTTTGATTTGATGCTGATAGTTGAAGTGAGCAAGTAATGAAATGAATGTGAAGTACTTTTTGAGTTAATCAAATGTGCTTTAAGCTTTTTCAGTTCAGATGAATATTAATCTCTGCTTTTCTTTCTTTTCTTCTGTGGTGAGTGTGAAGAGTGGGTTGGCAATTTTTAAATAGAAGTGAATGAATCTGCAGTAAAAATTCACAAACTTCAAGAAGAATTGAATTTTCTTAATGCTAGTGAGATTAAATTATTTAAGAATGGTCTTGACTCTTTCTTTCTTCATTGAAACACTATTTGAGCTGACTATAAATCTGAGAAAAAAAGTCTTGTCAGTGGCAAACTCACATTTGCTACTCTTGATGAAAAGACAAGCTTGCTTCAAGTATTTTAGAACTGTCTGGACATGTGTGGTGTGCTCATTCATTGTATTGAAGTAGATGAGAATGTCATTGAGATACACCACACAACACACATTTAGCAGATCAGCTAGAGCTTCATTAATGTATGCTTGAAATATTGCTGAAGTGTTGGTGAGCTCAAAAGATAGAACATAATATTCATAATGTTCATAATGTGTGTGGAATGCTGTCATCCAGCAGTCTTCCCACCAGATGCAAATGCAGTGGTAGATATTATAAAAATCTAGTTTGGTGTACAATTTTGCTTCTGCTAGTCTATTCAACATCTCTGTCACCAGCAGCAGTGGGTGACAGTTTTTGAGCATAATGTGATTTAACCCTCTGTAGTCTACACAGAGGTGTAGACCACCATCTTTTTTCAAGATGAATAATATTGGTGTGCTGGTGGGGCTTTTTAAGAATTGAATTTATTCTTTTTCTAGTGCAGCTGCTATGTATTTCTGAAGAACAGCAAGTTCACTTTCTGAGAGATTGTATATTGATAGAAATGATAATTTTTTACTGAATTTCAATTCAGTGATGTGTTCTGCTGTTGAATGACATTCTGAGATGTTGATATTTTCTTCTGAGAAGAGATGCACAAACAGCTGCACAAATTTCAGTAGTTCTGGAACATGTGCATGTGTGATTATATTGAGTGCAATACTTTCTGCATTTTGTGCAAATAGTTTGTCAATTGAGACAAGATATGTGGATGTGCTGAAGAGAATCTCTTTTATTGCTGTCTCAGCTGTTATGAAGTCAGATTCTTCATTTAACTCTTCTTCTTCTAGATGATAGACTCAATTGTCTTTCTGTCAGTTAACAATTGGATTAATGATTTTGAGTCAGGAGAATCTCAGAATTATATTATAAATATTTAAGATAACTGCTTCAAATGCTTGTTGTGCTTCTTGCATTGTTTTTTTGTGGTCAGTTGCACTGACTGCAAGATCATATGTCTCAAAGATTTACACTTGATGTTCATCAATGGCTTTGACTAACTTCAGCATTATGAATTTTGACATTAAGTCTTGTGACTTGACTTAAAATTAGCTCACAAAGTTGACTTCCACTTCAGAGTCTACTAAGATGAGCACATCTTTAATGCTCTCAGAAGTTTTGATCTGAATCATAATGAGAAATGAAAGTAGACTGACATGTTACAATTTGTGGAGATTGAGAGCTACTGCAGCATTGATAGTTCTCTTCATTCATTTTTTGACACTTTATCTGTAGATTCTTTTGAATTTGCCTCCAGCTTTTTTCTGAGAAAGCATTCTTCAGTGAAGTGTTCTGATCTTTTGTGAAGATTGCATTATGATTTATTACTTGTGGTCTTGCACTTATGAGAGTTGAGTTTTTCTTTCTTTTGCAGTTTTCTTGAGAAGCTCTTTGCACTTTTCTTAAATTTCTCTGTGCACTTTTTGATGTTATCTTTGCAGATGGCCAGTCATGTGACAAGTTCTTTATAGAATAAGTTGCCAATGATGACAGCATGTTTATTAAATTCAGATCTGATTTCTGAGAGAATTTTACAAACAAGATACATCTTATGCTGTTTCTCTGTGTATTTGTACAGGAGTCACCATTTAAATGACTTAAGAGTGCTGTTGAAGTTATGAATGAATTGATTTTCCCACTATTTCAGCTCAAGATATTTGTGCTCAGCATTCTAAGAGACTTTTTCAGAATTCATGATCTGTCATGAAAGTTAATCACTGAATTCAGTTCATGAGAGTAGAATGGTTAGAGCAGCAGTGTGGTGATTCTACTTGATGAGAAGCTTGATTTTAAAATATTATACTGCTTCAAGCATCTTGCAGTCATTGTGATCTCTAAAGTACACTGCTTGATATGCATGAAATACCATGTATTAATCTAGAAATTCCTCAAGTTCTTTGAGATTCTTGACTGCAAACTTTTTATCATTCTTGCATGTTGAAGCTCTGCCTGCATTCACTGTGCTTAGTAATTGTAGTCATGAGGCTTCATCTGTTCCAGTCTGAATATTTGAGTGGCTTTCTGAAAATGTGATTCTCTGGGTGGTGACTTCTTGCAGAGATTCATTTGAGTTTCACATGTGTAGCATTCTTTCCAGTCTTGATTGGTGTGAGGTGAAGATTGAAACTGTGTAGTAAGAGAATTTCTTCATTGAAGTGGTTCTTCTTTCTATAATTGCACACATTGCATTGATTTTCTGTTGCAGATCTTGAATACATTTTTTCTATTGCAGAACTTGTAGTTTTTTACTTAATTTTGCAAGCAAGACTTCATCTTGATTATTATTCTCAGTATCCAACAGATTGTTTGCAGAGACAGCAAGAATGCAGCTTGCACATATTTCAGTGTCTTGAGACACATTTTACTGTTCAGATGGGAGAAAGTCAGTGTGAGTGCTGAACTCAGCTGTTTGTGATATAATTTCAATTTCATTCACTCTTATGAGAGATTGTGTGGATGACTCTGACTGTTCAGAAGTTTTCTGATATTTCAGTAGTGTTGAAAGATCAGACATTGAGCAAGTGTCTTCAGAAATCTTTTCATGAATTCATCAGCTCATCTTATTGATGAAGAGTGTCTTGTGTTGTTTCTTTCAATGAAAAGTTGTGCATTGTGTTGATGTTTGATGCAAGTGCTGATAGCAGTCTGTCTGACAGATTATCTCTCATGATGAGAGACAGCAATGAGAACTGTGAGAAGCTAGATCTGTGAATGTATATCAGAACAGAATGAGCTACTAGTATAGAGATATAAACATATGTGGTGAGCAGTATATAGTATATGGCTATAAGTAGATGAGGCTCATTGCCGGACCCCAGGTAAACACAGAAGTAGGGGTGGAGAAATTTATATACAAGTGAGATGTGTGCTACTAAAATCTAAAGAGTCTAGTGTTGAGATCTGGCATGACAAATAAGTACACATGCAAGACAGACACTATATTGGGATCAAAATCACTGTTAAAATCAATATTTGATGATAATGATGATGATAATAATAATGTCAACTATGTGAGAAATGAGAGACTCTCTCCAAAGGACCCCCAGTGCACCCCAGAATGCAACTTCAATGAGTACAGATGCAAGACAGCTGCACAATCATATTTTTGATTTACTGTTAGAATCAATATTTGATGATGATGATTTTGACAATGTCAACTATATGAGAAATGAGAAGCTCTCTCCAAAGACCTCTCAGCACACTTGAGATGCAACTTCAATAAGTACACATGTAAGATAGACAGCTCATCACTTAAGTGTTGATTTTAATGCAGATCATAATGTCAACTATGTGTTTCTATATAGTAAAAACATGGTGTTGGACCCATCCAAAAATTGAGATATTTGCATAATCCTTTTTAACAGTAGATAGAGCTGATTTTGAGAATTCTAAAACTTCTTTCCAATTATTTTTATCTATTTTTGTTGAATTGATATTGAATTTTGAAGTGTTGTGATGTCCATTGGCTGGATGGTCTGATAAATTGAATTGGGGTTAGTGTGAGATGGTGCTAACCTCAATTCAATTTATCAGACCATCATCAAAAAATTCTGAATGCTCCCTCACCATCTCTTCAAAGTCTTCCATATTCTATCAGAGTGATCTACAACATGTAAATAATTCCTTCTACCAATATCACTTGAGCTGGATGCCTCAGTTGTTCTGTGTGTTGCTACAAAGTTATGCAGTACAGCCATCCTTGCAGGTGTTGGTTGACATTTGCCCAAGTCATGCTAAACCTGATTTGATTTATTGGACCATCACCACAACAGCTGCAATGCTCCCTCACCAGTCAGTTAAACTGTTCAATACTCTATCAGAGTATCTATGACATGTAAATAATTACTATTATATTAATATCACAGATATTAAATGCCTCCATATTTTATTATTATGAAGAAATAACTGTTCTGCATTAGTTATTGAGTTAAGTAACTCAGAGAACATTATACCATCTTACATAAGCAATTTAAGTCTAATTGAAAAATATCTCTTAATGAAATAAAACACTTCTTATTATCTTATATATGGTCTCTGATTTAGAGTTCTGGTGATGATTTAATAAATCAAATTAAATTTAATGTAACTTGAGCAAATGTCAATCAACACCTGTGAGGATGACTGTACTCTATAACTTTATAGCAATACATAAAACAACTGAGACATCCAGCTCAAGTAATATTAATAGAAGAAATTATTTAGATGTTGTAGATCATTCTGATAAAATATGAAAGACTTTAAAGAGATAATGAGAAAGCATTGCAGCTGTTCTGATGATGGTTCAATAAATTGAATTGAGATTAATGTGACTTGAGCAAATGTCAATCAACATCTGTGAGAATGACTGTACTGCATACAATCAGCTGGTGAGAAAGTTACAAGTGTAACTGATGTTCTAACAATGATTTGATAAATTGAATTTGAATTAGACATGACTTCCAGTGATGAGAACAGTCATACAACATGAAAATCTGGTGTATTATAACTAGAAGACCAGTACTATTCAACAGACTCTTGTAAATTAAGAGAGTTAGCACCAGCACAGGATTTTTTGAAGGAATATGACTCAAATGAAGTTCCTGTGTCAATACTGGAGGCTCTCTTGCACTTCTGCTGGCTGGACAGTAAGGTGGTGGCATTTTCACTCAGCTGTTGTTCAGCTGTTGGAGACACTGACTGAGCACTAGATGATTCTGAGACTGGAATTGTGCTATGCTGCTCAGATGAAATTGCTGTGTCAATACTGGAGACTCTCTTGTGCTTCTGCTGGCTGGACAGTATGCCAACAGCATCTTCACTTGGCTGTTGTTCAGCTGTTGGAGACACTGGCTGAGCACTAGATGATTCTGAGACTGAAATCATGCTATACAGCTCAGATGAAGTTGCTGTGTCAACACTGGAGGCTCTCTTGTGCTTCTGCTGGCTGGACAGTATGGCAGTGGCATTTTCACTCAGCTGTTGTTCAGCTGTTGGGGACACTGGCTGAGCACTAGGTGGTTCTGAGATTGGAATTGTGCTCTCTGCATTTGCCTGAAGCAGATTCAGATCTGTGCAATATTGCTGATCAAGTTCAGCAAATGATTCTTCTGCATTTCTCAATGGCTTAAGGAAAGTTAGTTGCCAAATAGCTGATCTTGCTGCATGGTAGACTTTGTGTCTCTTTTGCTCTGGAATAAATGATGAATTTCACCTCATGGAAGTAGATGACTGAGAATGTGTTTGAGACAATGACTTGAAGTCAGGTTCAGAGCTAGAACAGTTGTGTATCTTGTTATTGAAGTCATCCTCACTCTCAGAACTCTCATTGCCAATAACAAGTTCTTCATCACTGGATATTTCAATTGAATTCCATACACTTCCAAGAGCCTTTGCCTGATATAAGTGTTCTTCTAGTTGAAATAGACACTGAAATTTGCAGATCATAATCATGTGCACATGTGTATGCCATTCCTCAACATAGGACCAGACAGCTTCACAGTCAGTACTGAGAAGAAATGCAGTATGTTGCTTTACATCAGGATCACTCCAAAGTTTGATTCTCATAATGGCACCACCAACAGGATCTAGTGCAGGAATTGAAAAGGCTGGAGGGAAACACTGATAGTTCCAATCCTCATATATATCTGAATGTTGTGGGTAAAGATGTTTCTTAGGCCTGCTGAGAGTTCACAACATTTTCAGATATGAAGACAGACTTCCAAGATGAGCTGGTTGCATTGATGATTCTGAGAATGAAACCAGAGACACAGTAACATGTTGGTGTGGTTTGGTTTCAGTGGTACCATGAGAAAGGAGAGGGTGCATGACCTGAATTGATGCTGGTTTCAATGGTGCCATGATCAGTTTCAATTCATTATTGGCAGTCTTTGAAGTAAAGGAGGTAAAATCAGCATCCTCATAAATTTTGTATTCATCAAAGACTGTGTCCAGATGTATTTTGAGGTGGGTTTCAAATTCCTTTGAAAGTAAATGTGCACCTGGAACAAGAATATCACAATTTTCAACATCATCAACACCCATGATAGTAACAATTCACAAGCTCTGAACATTCTCAGCCAATGAGGAAAGCTGCATTCCTTCTGCTTCACAAATGGTAAGACTGACATTGTTGATAGTTGCATCAATGGCAGTTACAGGCTCAGAGTAGTACAACAGATTCATGGTGTGGTCAGCTCAGAGACACACATTAAGAAGATACAGTATTGGGTCCTGAGCAAGAATCTGCTGTGTGATCAAGTACAGCATTGGGGCAATCCATGGTGAAGCCATTCCACCATGAAGATCAGCACAGTGCTGGCAGTGATGGAGATACATCTGAATCTCATGTCCAGCAAATGCTGATAACCCATCAGTTCCTGCGTCCCACCAATCAAATAGGCTGACAACATTGATAAATCCCTGGTTTTTAAAGTCACCAGAAAAGTCTTGCTCTTCCACACCACACTGAACAGTAAGATCTCCCAGAATGTGTTCATATGGTGTTTCAGGTCTGGTTAGTTCACAGGCCTTGAATTGGTATGGAAGCAATATATTTGTTGCTTGTGGTTGTCAGACATTTGAAGTTGTCAATCCAACATCAAGCTCACTATTCTGCTGTCTTGCATCACACAGTGGAGTGTCAGGCGCTTGTTGTGAACAAAGCTCAGGATTCTCAGCTTGCTGATTTTGTGTTGCTGAAATCTGATTATTTTCTCTTCTTTCATTTTGAGAACTAACTTGTGTCAGCAAGTTGTTCTGGGTTGCTGGCAATGCTTCATTCTCTGATATAGAGAGTCTTGACTGAACAACACCCTCATAGATTCTAGATGCCTTTGACTCTGCACCAACAACTGGAGATTCTGCTTCAGATTCTGTGGGTTGATTCTGGAATGTGCTATCATGTTGTGTTGGGCTGCTGTTGGACAGTAGTTGAACAGATGACTTAGATTTATCATCTGATGGTGAGATGCTGATTGATTCAAGTTTTTGCAAAAGTCCATCTGCATTGAGAAAGCACCCAATTTCATGAATCTGATCAGATGTCAATGGTATGTATGACTCTTTGTTGTCCTGAACTCTACACAGGTCTGAAAACACAATTTGGAGAGTTGCAGACTGCTCAATTGAAGAATGACTCAAGTGCCAGTGCACTGCATTTGCAATGTGACTCATGTCTTCACTATGACTGTATTGGCCAGCAATCTGGCCAAGCACACAGTTGAACTGGTTGGCCTGACTTAAATCAAGTGCAACTTCTGCCTGTTCACTCCAATGGTTTTGAATCTTCTCATGGGCTTTTTCATATTTAAACTGATTTGACTTTGCTGTCTGAGCATGTATCTCAATTGCTGACCATGTGTACTTGTATTCTCACAACTGTGTAAACTTAATCCAGTCTTTGTTGTTCTGAAAATATTGATATGCTTCAAGGACAAACTCATCAATACTCTGTTCCAGTTGATTCATGAGAAGACCAGTTTCAGTCCACAAGACCTGATACTCAGCATCAGACAGTTTTGCTCACTGCTCCCTTAGGAATGGGACTATATCTTGAAATAATGGGAAAGATTTTCCTCCTAGCAGAATGTTGTTTACTGTTAAATCAACAGGTACAACTGCATTGGTATCCAGTGAGTTTTGGTCTAGAGATGAATTCATGGCTTTCTGTGGGAGCTATGTGAAAAAGCACAATAGACATGAAATGTTAGCAAAATATACTTGAACATTAGAATATGATACCTTACTGACATTGAACAAATAATATTGTTCACAGATGGAGAGAAGCTTGAAAGAATTATTTGAGCACAACAGCAATTTATTGAAATACAAACAATGATGAAAGATGTTTATTGATGAAACTGAAATGACACAATAAGAATTAATCTTTTGATGTATCTGTCTATCACATGATCTCAGAGCAAAGGGCACCAAGATCCAACTTCATATGATGAAGTTAATCATGTACCTGGGTACATGAAGGCTAATTCTCCCCAATCTTATGTAATTCTTGATCACTTCAACCTTTTTCTATAACTAATTTGTTTTGGTCTCATCTTCTTCAACTCACACTTGATTCACCCTCTCCATTCTTTTTAATGATCTCAGTGCAGTCATGCCATCTACATGATTATCTTTACAGCTGGTTGCAGCTTAAGCCTTGGACAATGCCCACACAAGCTGTCTGAAAACCACATCTGTGGTGTACAGCAGGAGGCAGCAGAAATGGAGGGTGAGTGCACTTATTTAATGTGGTTCAATGCTCAGGCAGGCTGGCTGACCTTCCAGTGTACAAACATAGGAATGTTGCAAAGCTGAAAGCATTTCCAGATGGTGAGATTGTCACCAGACAGAAGACATGTCTTTCCCTCACACAGAAGATGCTCAGCTGCAGCATATGAAGCAATGTCAAGCTGCATACTGCCTGATCTGTTGACCATTCTTCTGGAGAATGAAAGACCAACACCCTGCAACCCCATGGTGCTGATTGCAGACAATGGCAAGATGAATGCATTTGAAAAAACAAGTCTCAAGATCAATCTCTAGATGTTGTAGGTCTGAATTTTTGTTATTCAGTCTCTCATGCTAACTGTACATTGCATTCTAATCTATGCTCTGAAGAGCCTCCTCTGCAGCCTCTGCAACTCTTGCAATGGCTTCAATATCTCCCACCCCCCCATAATTATATTCTTCTTTCTGCTGTCCCTTTCCTCTTCTTCCCCCCCTCAATACCTTCATAACTGGCCTTTTCAGTATATTCTGCTGTCACTATGTCCAGGACAGTGGCCAGGGCAGATGAGGCTTTTGCAGCTGCAATGGCTGCTGTCTGACTCATTTTCAAGAAGGCTGCAAGAACCTGTTGCATCTCAGCATGAGCTGTTGCTGCCATTGTTGCTGTCTGTATGACAGTGAACATCTTTTGAGCCACCTGTTCCTCCTGCTCTAACTTCTTTGCCTTTTTGGCAGTTGGATTTTCAGCCTCCATGGACTTCTTGATGTCAGTGTTGTTGGTGGTGGTGGTGGTGGTTGTAGCAGCCTTGCTGTGCTTTCTCTTCTTTGCATCTACAGTCACAAACAGTTAGCTAACATGTCTTTTCAGTCTGCAGGCCTCACTTACCCAGATGAAATGAACAATGATATTCACTACTATTGTAGTAGCAATTGGTGCATGCATCTTTGAGGTGCCTGGGGACAAGAACACAGTCTGTAAACAGGCTGAAGCCCTCATCACAGTGCTTGCAGCTCAGGTTTTGCATAATCCCACAAGACTGCGCCAGCACATTCTTGTGGTTTTCCATTCACTCCAGGGAGATCTCTAAGTCCTCTTGAAGAATCAGATTGTTGACATACAGGAGGGCAAGAATGTCTGTAAAGGTCTTGTAGGGCTTCTCAGGCACCTTCTCAGCATCATGAACAAGATGGTTTGTCAGTTCAACCATTATTATGGGCTGTAAAAATTGCTGATTGGTAGCTGTAGGGTCTTGGTAAGTGGTTTGATTTTCTGCATATCTACCATTCTACAAATTCCCATCTTTTCATATAAGTTCTTACAGTCTATACCACATTGCTGAATGGGTATTTCTAGTTGTTGAGCTTTGTATGTTAAATAGAATCTGCCTTTTTACTACTGGCAGTTCCTGCATTGATTGTAAAATCTCAATAGAGAGTGCAGATTTCAATATATGGAGCATCTCACTTTACAGTGCAATTCACTATATCAATTCACCCTACTGAGCACCTCATGTTAAGGTGCAATTTGATATATGAATTCACTTTACAGAGATCTCACTTTACAGAGCAATTCACTATACCAATTCACTCTACCAAGCACCTCATGTTAAGGTGCAACTTGATATACAAATTCACTTTATGGTGCAATTCACTGCACTAATTCACCCTACTGAGCACCTCATGTTAAGGTGCAATTTGATATACAAATTCACTTTATGAAGATTTCACTTTATGGAGATTTCACTTTACAGTGCAATTCACTACACTAATTCATCCTACCAAGTGCCCCATGTTAAGGTGCAATTCAGTATATGAATTCACTTTATGGAGCGCCTCACTTTACAGTGCAATTCACTATATAAAATTGACCATACTGAGCAGATCACAAGAGGGGGTTTAGTGCTCATCTGAGGAGTCTGAAAAGCTATATAAATTCTTCTCTCCCCCCAGCTTTTTTCTTTCTCTTTTCTTCCATCTGCCAGCTTGATCTTGAGCTGGCACACTGCAGAGTCCAATACTCTCACTATGAATGACATGAGCAGAACTCTAGATAGGCAGTGTTTCAACTCTCTTCAAACACTGAAAACAGTTACTCATCTTGCAGACTAGCAATGATGTCCATAGCCATCCTCAGGCTTATTTTCTAGTCAACACCATCAGTCCTTCTTAGATTCTACAGATCATTCAAGTTATGCTCAACAGCCCCAGAGTATGCTTCCACAAGATCTCACATCTTCTGGCCAGACAACAGCCACCACTGCTTCAGCATCAAGTCATAATGCTGTGCATAACATCTCATTTCTTCTTTACAAAGTGGAAAAGAAGAAACAGCATTGGCTGTGCTAGACACTAGCAATCTCATGACATATCCACAAGGCTGTGATATTGAGTGAGTAAACAACTTTCATAAGTCTGATTCAAAATGAAAACAATCTTTGTATGAAATCCTCCTGCTTCTTCTTTTAAAGGCTTGCTCTAATTATCTTTGACTAGGCCTTTGGATCCAATATCAATGGAACATGAGAATAAAAAAGGGGTGCATGAAAAGCCAAAGAATACTCACAAAAAGAGAGGCTGATCTCAAAAAACACTTCCTACTGGAAACTGCAAGAGCTGAATCTTTGAGTGGTGCTTGCACCTTCCTGACTCATACTACACCAAATACAGAAACTGCAACTGAATTGGTGTTAAACACTAAAAATCATGGACAAGGACAATCTTTCAGAATTTCTACAATCTTGAGCTCAAACTGAACTCACAGTTCTTAAACAATACATTGAGAAGATCTTAGAAAAAGATTGAATCCAACACTCAAGTCATCTGCCAGTGCTGCAATATCTTCTGCAGCAATTCACTCAGACAACAGGACTCAAATGGCTCCTCCATCTATGCTTCTCCAGCTTGCAGATTATCCAGCACTACTACACCAGAATGCACCTGCCACATCTCAGAATCCAAACTGACTGGACCTCTTCCAGAGTCCATCAACAGGTGAATCACACTCCACAACTCTCTTAACTCTCCCTCAGCCACCTCAAATGGTTAACCTACTGCTGTCAAACTCTTCCACAACTCAACTCCCTCCCGCAGCTCTAGCCCCAGACACTGGACCCCATCTAGATTA